ATAGATTCTTTTTATTAGGTGTATAAGACCCATGGATCAATGAAAAGATTTCAGTAGGGAAATATCACAGCTCATAAAGCTTCATTAAAAGCTCAAAAAGTAGAATGATGTAGTCGGAATTGATTGTACAAGAGTTGATTTATTCTTATACTTTACACTTCTTTCCAAAGACATGCATGGATACGTCTTGAAACAAATATATTTTGACATAGGAAATGTTATGACCCAGCACTAAACAACAAAGATGAGGAGGCTTAGCCTTGCATATACCCTCCTCTTGAGGTTCTACACCACCCAACTACCCCTGAGCTACCCTAAAAGCTCCTCCATTGCCATGGTAAATGTTTAGGGTGGGTTAAGTTCTATTACCCTAAGTCCATGCTTTAATATACAACCTCAGACTATGTGGTCAAAACTAGTGGCTATTCTCCCCTAATAATGTCCTTGTCCCAAGGTTAAGTTACATTAGTGTTCACCTTTCCTAAGGAACTCTGCTCAAGCTCCTAATCCCACAACTATATATACCAAGGACTTTTCACTTTGACATAGTACACCTTTCAACTAGCTAGTATAAAATACTAGACCCAGCTGACAATTGCACCCAATAAGCCACTTTACCAATACATTTTAACACTTCATATGTATGGATCAATATATCTATGAGAAAGCTTGTTACTCTTCCCACTCTACAAAGGCACTAAAGTGCTCTACTGCCACTTGACAAAAAGATAAGATGAGATCTCACACTTGATGGTCATTAGCAAAATTCTCTGCCTTAACTTAAGCCACCTATGAATTCCATTTGCACACCACTAGAATTTCATCAAGTTTTGTGGCAATATCAATCACTTCTAAATTAAGCTTATCTTTAACATCCTTGCTCAAATGCAATATCAACTCCGTGATGTTCTAAAATGTTTACGAAACATGGAAAAGTAAGGACTTAAGTTGATTCCACTCTGCTAGCTATTCTTGTAGGCAAATTGCACCAAAAGAAGACATAAATCCCACTATCTTTGACTTTTGCCAATGCTATATAACATATCCTCAACCACTTGATTCACATGCTTGGTCTGCTTATTTGTTTGAGAATGATCTCCACTTAAGATATTTAAGTCACTTGTATAGCATGTAGAAAGCTCTTCCAAATCCACTAGTGAACTATGAGTCTTGATAGTTGATGATGTCCTTTGACAAACTCAAATTAAGAAAGACCTTCTCTAAGTAAACCAGCATCAAGTCTAAGGCATTAATAGTGTTCTGAAGAGGTAAAAACCATCCATACATGCTTCTCCATTGATCCACTG